TTTGCTTGACCGAGAATGTCTAGCCGTATTTCTTCGTCTTCTATGCCTCTGATGAGCGCATCTTGAACCATGTAGTCAGAGTAACTTACCACTGCGGGCGGGTTGCAACCACACTCAACCGTGAAAGCACACACGCTTGCTTGACCTTGTAGACGGGCAGCAAAGGCGCGCACTGGTTCATCTCTGTCTTGTCTGATCTGACCGAGTTGAACTCTTGCCACAAGTATGTTCTCTGCGCGAACGGCAAGTGACTTGATAGAGTTTAAAACTACCTGTTCGGTGCTGCTATTGAGCGTACCATACGTGCGTGTGAGGTCCTTCCTGAGAGACTTCGCAGCACTCGAGTAGTTGATAGATGACGTCAGGGCCGGATAATCGTGTTGCGGATTTGTACTCCGACCACCGCTGATTGAAATACTGCCAGTCCTCGTTGGTTCCCCCGGAGTCGATAGTGGGCCGCTTCACCTTCTCTAGCTTCGATGTGGATGTTGTGCCTGCATCAGCTGGGTGGGCAGTTCGTGCGTGCAATTGGATGAGGTTGGTGAGTACATCTGAAGCGAGTGTGGCGTCCCATGTGGTTGGGCACTCGGGTGCTGGGCATTCAATCACGTTCATTGTTGGATACTCCAATTAGGTAGATAACATAAATGACAACAGTCTTTGTTCCAATATTCAATTAAAACAATCGATTAAAACAATGTTATCTGAAATAGGAAACTATTATAAACACAATCAGAACATAGTCCAGTAGTCTTTCACCAGAGCGACCTTTTATCAGACCACAATGCAATAATTCAATTAAGATAAATTTAAATTAATGAATGATTCAAAAATGAAGCGGTTACAACAAACAAAACTTCGTTCAGAAACCGTGAAATTATACGGTGTCATTACATCTGTCAATCAAATTTGTTTATCGAGTCTGGTAAAAGGTCCGTTATAAATTTTCTGGTAAAAGGTCGGTCTGATAAAAGGTCGGTCCCCGTCTCTATAATAGTTTCAAATTTTTTGCTGTATTAATTGAGTCTTTTAGCACATTGGGGATTCGCGACCGCTTGCTCCGCTGCGCTTTAATTCAACACGAGTGTTATTGTGCGAGCAAATCTTTGTTTGGCCGCTAATTTAGACTGCGGTGTTTTCAAAGGAGTGCGGTCTGTATTTAGACAACCGCGTATTCATAATCGTCACTAAGCAGACAAATACCATATTAACCAATCAGATTTGAGATGAGAAAAAAAAATTTTTGAAATAAATAATTATTAATCATTTATTTCTTCCTTGTCTCGATTCTGATTGGTTAATACAATTAGTTTTCAAAAATTGCAAGTTCGGCTCTGCGAAACATTCGAATGCAAGTAGACACTGCCTATTGAATATTCATTTAACCGTTGGTTTCAGAAACCTATTTGCGTATTATGAAACAGAATTCGTTTCCGTTAAATGAAATTCAGGTTTGAAAAGTTTAAGTGGATCCTACTATTCATGAATTTTTCCTGAATTGCTATTCTGCCTTATTAAAACAAGCGATCAGCCTAGCTTAATGGAACTATTTTAAACTAAAGCTGGCTCTCAGATTTTTATCTCAAAAGTGAAGATTTTCCGCAAATAACAAAATAGGCTGCAATAGTTGTTTAAGTGGCAATGAACGTAGTGGAGACTTATTTAGTCGTATTGATTTTCTGTCTTTTTTTCAGGATGAAAAATGCCCAACCTTTTGAAATGTTTTTTTTTTCAAAAATGGTCTTCAACTTTGATCACTCAAGTTTAAACTTAATCAAATCAACTTCTAGTTACCACTGGAGCTCAGATTGCGATCTATGACAAAAAAGCAAGTAGGACAAAAAATTAATCGGTAAATTGCTCAAAATGATTCAAGAACTGAATAGCGAGAGGTGAACTTAAATTTAGGCTCGGTTAAGTAATCTTGCCTCAAATTATGACCCTTCAAAAATATGTCTGTCGTTGGCCTTGTTTTTAATTATGTCTATTTTGGTAATGTAATGGGTGCCGAATTTTAAGCCAACGGGTGTTCAGGCCGAAAAGAAAAAAGATACTCAAAACTTGCCCAACAAGTGCAGAAGAGCGACGTGATTTTCACATATGTACACGGTTAACACTGTGTTTAAACGCTGTATACTTTAGTGTTTAAATTATTTTCTCCTGTTCGGGTGATTTTCTTGTGTGCTTTGACTAACTGAGCAAGTCCTCCATTGGTTTCGTGAACGAGGTATCGAGCGACGCGAATGGCTCTAAAGTGCCGAGAAGCAGTAAAATTCTTTTATTTCGGATTTTTGGTTTGCTGCGTTTTTTGTGTCCGGCTTTTTTGAAGTCGGCCTAACTAAAAATAAATGAAAATAGCACTCAACAGGTAAAAGTACTGCACACAGACTGCATATAATTTCGTCGTTTTTCTTGTCGTAAAGCTACATTGCATCGAGAATACGAGTGAACAATTTGAGACACGGCGTGTAGAGATGTGAACAAAATTCGAAATGCAATATAGGCTGTTGCTTATCTGGTATGAAACATGCGAATAGTTAGTTTGAACAAATACCCACATTTGAGAAAAGTTTCACGCTCACGTTATTTCTACCTTCAAATTTGTTTTAGTTAATTGTTCTACGGAAAACATAGCACTAATATTTTACTTTCATATTTGAAAACTAGTGCTTTATTTGAAATACTAGTGCAATATTTCAATATTGCACAAGTATTTCAAAACTTGCAATAATTTTTCAGATATTGCACTAGTGGTTTAAATGTTGCACTAGTTCTTCAAGTACGGCACGGACACATGCTGAACACGTGCGTGTTTTTTTTTAAAAAAAAACATGTATTAAACGTTAAAATGTGCTTTTTTTAAACTCGAAACATTTTTTTATAACAATCATATATTTTTTTGAAATTCAAAAATTATAAAGGCATTTTTGAAATTCGAAAGTTAGAGTTTTTCAAAAAAACGAGTAGTTTTTTTTCAGTTTTTTCCTTGTTTCCTTACAATCAATAGTTCTTCTTGGCAATGTTTTTTAACAATTTTACAACCTTCTGTTTGTTTTTGAAACTTTTTTTTGGAATTGTCCTTACTCTGAAAATCTATCTTTATACACTTGTTTATATTTATCTAAGCCTAAGGTCAGTGCAAGATGGCGTGATTGTGATTGCCATGTGTTTCTTGATACTGTGCTGTACTGTATTTAAGATAAAACTTAGTGACGTGTAGATAAGTGTTGGTGGTTTTTTCCTGTGTCGTTCAACTTCAATGGCGGGTGCATTGATCTATCGGTTCCTTCTAATAATAAGTTGATTTTGTTAGTCAAAGTGTCACGTGATATGATAGCAGATAAATGTTTGTTCAAACCATTTGACCATTTTGTGTGGTTGGTACTTACCAGGGTGAATGGGAAGGAAATCCCGAATTGGCCTGCCAAAAACGCACATCGACGGAGATAACTGCGTGGTTCGATCTGGCGTATTGCGATACTGAAGCATTGCTCGATTGAAGTTGTCAGTGTCCAGGCATCCGTTCCTATCGGTATTATCAGCTATGAGTCGTTTAATAGTTTTCACGCCAATTTCTGCACGCGAGTTGCTGTGCGGGAAAGCCACGGACGAAACGCGGTGCGAAACGCCCCAACTTTTGAGGAATGTTTGAGTTTCATGTGACATGAATTCCGTTCCTCCGTCTGACGACAACTCGTCGCTTATACCGAATGTCACAAAAAGCTGCCTCAAACAAGTAATTAATCCTTTAGAACCATCGTTGGAACGCTCTACCACAGGCCAATTACTGTATCGGTCTACCACTACAAGGTAACGTTGCCCACCGTATCGGAAGTAATCCGCGACTACACATTGAAAGGGGTACAGCGGTTGGAAGGGTGGCGTTGACGGTTGGCTCGGTTGGGATGGCGCATTTCTATTGCACGTGGCGCATCTCTCTCTCCACGCTGTAATTGCCGGAATCATTCCAGGCCAGAAGACGGAGGACTCAGCTCTTGATATCATCTGGGAAACACCTTGGTGCGCGGAACGCAAGACGGCGAGTGCTTTCTGCCGAAGCGATGGCGGTATTACCACACGATCTTTATAAAGGATAACTGCGTCGTAGGTAGAAAGATGTTCACGGTATTGAAAGAATCCTTGTATGGCAGTTGGCACCCGTTGTCGCGATTTCGCGAAACCCGCTTCAATATGTTGTAGAAGGAGTTGACACGATGAGTCGCTAGCTGTGCTAAGACGCACAGATTCCCAGGTAATCTTATTTTATTCAGAATCAAGAACCTGTGACTGATTATGTCTTTGTCGTACCACCTGAAGAAAGAGCGTATCTGAAGGGGATTGGTTAAAACAAGCAACTGATGGGGACTATCTCTGACGGTAGTCTTGTCTTGAGCTCGTGACGAGATACCAGCAGATTGATAATACAACCACTTTTATCGGAGTACTTTATATCTGATTCTGCTGAAAACCAACGCACACACACGCGCGTGTGCTCAGTCAACATAAGCTCGAGTGTTCTGTAGGTCACTACAAATTCTACCAACTCGATACGATACTGAGAGTCTATTCAAAATACCATTTGAATCCCAGGAAATAGAATCTAGAAGCGCACAAGTGTTCTCACTTGTCTGTTCGCGGAAATCCAACTGTGAAAGTGTCCTGTTCTCGTCTGCGTGCACGCCTTGTGAAATTTTCTGTGCTATTTTGTTATTCTTCTTTGAACAATTAACACTGTTGATTTGTGGACCAGACTTATAGTGTGTTGTATTGAATATGAACGTATTCAAAGCTGTCCGCAAACGTCTCTCCCTTTCCATGTCAGGCGGCGCCGGTGCAACGTCTGGCAATGCCCAAGAGGCCCATTTGGTGTCTAAGTCAATGGAGGACTTGCGTCTGGCGTCATATGAGGAAAACGACGGCAATGACATGGTGTTCTACTGCAAACTCCTCGGATCCGAGTATGTCCAGGACAAAAACGGAAGTGAGTTGGCCCGGTGATCCAGAGTTACACTGGCAAGGAGGGTGCGGGGTTGGGCACTGGGTTGGCGATAAATGACGAGTCTGGCGGAGCTGCGGCATCTGCGGCAAACTCGAAGAGGGTTCTTGGCAAGAACAAAACGATGATCAGAGTCAATTCAGATGGCCTGGAGTTGTCTACTGACGGATCAACAGAAAAGAATAGGCAAGTTTTTTATTGTGATCGAATTGAAACTTGGAAATCATTTAAATACCATGAGTATCCGATCGCTGTTCCAAGTAGACCATCTTTCGTGTTTTTTCGCTATTGGTAGATGATAGAAATGCAGATTATAAACAGCTTCTAACAGTTGATTTACGACGATAAACAGCTTTCGAAGCATTAAAATCGTATCGTATGCTTAGGGTTTACACTACGTAACACGTAACACTTGGCAGTTTAACGCGGGTCTAGGACAACAAGCCGACGGGACTTCAAGCCGAAGGGACTTCAAGCCGAAATTAAAACTTTACAAGCACCCCAAAACGCTATTTTATCATCTGAAAAATGTTGCTTTTCTAAAATTTTGGCAAGTTTAGTCCATAATAAGCGTTATTCATGACAATGCACCACTTGTGATTCGCATCCGTTAATAACATCAGCCGGTTTTTGAAATGCATAAATTATAAACATGAAAAATGCCTTCAACCATGTTTTACTTTTCAACTTTCCGGAACATCATTTGGAGGCTTAAATTATATCCAAACGCCAATAACTAGTAAAGAAAGATCATGAAATTCAAAAATTCTTCAAAAAAGTTTTCAAATTGTTTATATTTTACGACTTTATAAGGAATTATTCGGCTTGAAGTCCCTAATTTTACAATTCGGCTTGAAGTCCCGTCGGCTTGATGTCCGGCACCCGTTTAACGCAACATTTTAACTTCAATGTGCTGAGTTGAGTGAACTTTTTTTGCCAATCATTTCGACTAATTGATGATAGACAGTTCAACGCGCTTCAAAACAACCCGCTAAATCTTCAATATTTTAAAGAGTAATGAACGTAGTGACTACTTTTATATACGTCTTGCTGATTTTTTTGCTTTTTTTTCAGGAAAAAGCAAATAAATATGTTTACGCTCAGTTTTGATTTTTCGCGTTTTGAGTTGTTATTTCTTTTCAAGTTCGGTTCATTTCCATTGTCAAAAGGAAAGCAAACTCTACTATCGAACAGCAGAAGTTAAAGGTCACGAAAAACGTGATCGACTTCAAAATTGGAAATTAATTATCAGGTTTCGTAGTGAAATAAAAATTTTGCCTACTGATCCAGTTTTCTCAAATAGGGTTAGCTTTAACAAAAAAGTGTCCATCACAAATAGTTCTACAAACTCAAAGAGTTTTGAGGCCATCTGTTTTTTTTTTCTTCAAAATTAAAAGTTGAAGGTTTTTGAAAAAATAAGTCAGCTTTTTTTTTCAGTTTTCTTGCGTTCATTACTCTTTTCCAGCCGTCAATTGGCTTTATTATATATTTCAATAAATCGGGAATATGAATAACACTTGATAATCTAAAGCTCAAATATAAGAAAGAGAAAGAAATAAAAACGGATCAAACTCTATACAAAAAAGAATTCGCTGATCATTGCACATTTATTCATAAAAATCAGGAATCACTAGAACCAACATAAGCTGTTCAGCTCTTCGCGGAGAATTACTGTTGTGCCCCTGCTTTAAAACTGCATGAATTCTTTTTGGCTATTTTTCTGGACTGGATAATGTTGCCTCACCCTCAAGCAACGAGCTCGGATCATGGTGGCCCCCATATTTGCGATTGAGAGGCGGAGAAGTAACCAATTCACCGCTCACCGTTTTAGGAAAAATTTTAAGCTTGATTGGTAAAAAATGGATAATTTAAAATAGCAATAATAAAATACGAGTAGCAACTGAAAGGTCTTCAATTCGATTGAATATTCGATCCCATTGGCGCTTTCTTAGAATTAATTGAAATACAGTGATAAAGTTCAAGCTTTGAACCGACAATCTTTGAAAAATTGTTTAAAATTTTTTCAAAGGGCTTTCGGTGCCTATAAAATATACATATTTTAATGTTCAAAAAACGAAATTTTCAGTTCGTTTCTTAAACAATTTGCCTTCTTTTTCCGTGGAAATGTTTGGCAGAATAGGGTCTTTGTGTTTTATGATGGCTTGGAAAATCACTTGCGTTGAGCTATAAAAAAAAAAAATTTGGTTGTTTTTCATTAAGTTTCCAGGTTATGAGCAAATATTAAAATTGTAATTAAACTGCCAGTTTTTTAAAGCTTGATATTGTTGTTGTGGCCTTGTCTTCAACATCAGAAAGCAGGTTTTTTTTTAAAACTTGATCACTGCATTTATCGAGGCTTAATTTTTGTGTCTAAATAGCGGTAGTTTGTTGAGGTTTAAACTGTGCCACGTGAGTTTTGTGAGTGCAGCCTTCACCTACTCTCACTGTGCTGCCATCATCTGCCAAAGTGTCTCCTCCCCCACCAAGTGGAGAGCCTATCTGTTGCTCTTCTCCAAGCCCAAATACGCCAAACGATTCGCAGTCTTCATGGCCAGACAATTCGACGTCGGCTACGAGAAGTGGCAGAGCGAACAAGCAGCGGGAACCTTGGATTTGGCAGTGGAACAGGAAGCACTCAAGCTCAAATCACGTCTGAAGCAAGGGTTGACAAACAAGACGTTTGTTCTGGATGACGAGGACGATCTTGTCATTACGCCCAAGACCTCGACAAGTACACCGGGTGTCCAACATGCAAAAACATTCTCGGATACAGGAAACGAGGCGGGAGACAAAACCGAACATTCATCGGAACACAACTGTCCCACGACGAACAACTCAGGTCAGATTTCCCACGTGACATCATCTTCATCCTCGGTCAACGAGGTTTTCGCTGAAACTCATAATGAAGACCGAGCAATTGCAGATCAGCCTCGTGATTCTCGTGATCAGTCCCAAATGTCGCGGAGAATAGTAGGAACCCGTCCGCAATCTGTAAAAACCCCGACTGGATTCCCATCTCAAAGCGTCCCTCAACATCTTCTAGATTCGCGAGAAGGTTACAATGAGTTTGCCAATGCCGAGCGAGAACTATGTTCCCTGATGAAGGGAAGTCACGTGCAGAAAGACCACTCCTCGTCTCCCATTTTGGACGACCCTTTTGCCTCGAGAACCGCAGCGTCATGGGCTCCTCATCAAGACCCATTTATGTCCTTTTTCGAAATGCGTAATTCAAACATGGACCCATCCGATACCTCTTTCTCTTCGACTTCTTTGTTCTCAACTCAGATGTCAAATGGAGGCGTGTCAGGATTCACCCCCTTTGAAAACATTGAAGAACACAAAGTTGGCGAGCAAGAAGAAAATCAAAACCAAAACTTCTTACTCGAATTGTGATTTCAAGTCGAGTAATTCTTACTCGAATTGCAAACGAGCGAGTCGCAAAATGTCCTCGTCATCTAGTTGCTGACAAACCCGTCCACCTCTTATTTATTCCTCGGACTTATGTGACATTATATCCAATTTGGCTTTCATTTTCCGTTTAATTTTCAAATGCCTATTTTTCTGATTCCTCATTGATGCAATTCTGAATAATTAATTCAAATTCGTTTTCGTACTTTCTCTTTGAACCTAAAGCTGAACTCGTCCTGTTGGCTGTGGTGTAGAATGGACCTTTTTGAATCTACAATTAAAATCATTTAATTATTTGCACTGAAAGTAGCACAAAAAGTTCAGACATCATTGATAAAATCTATCCAAAGAAAATTATTTTTCTCCAAATTTGCGTCGTTTTTTGGCGTAGTGTGACAAGACGAACGAAAACTTGAAAGTTATCAAGTTTGGCATAATAGACCACAGTTGTTTTGAATAAATAAAGGAATAACAAATCAATGAAGAAAAAAATCAAATTTTAGCAGAGGTTTTTTATGATTTGTCAAACAAAAAAGCGCCCAAAATTGAAGCTTCAAAAACTAGCCTTTGCGGAAAAAAATTAAGTTTGGAGTAAAATGAGTAAGAATGAAACTAAAAGCAAAGATTTCTAAATGGTTTTTGTCGACACTAAATTTTTTGTCGTTCTAATTACGACTGAAAGAGTTTTAATGTGATATACTACTCGACTTATTTTAATGATTGTTTTTGTCCCTAATTTGAGTGAAAAAAACTTAAGAAAAATTACAAAACACACCCCAAGACAAAATTCCTCACTTTCAGTAGTTTCTCAAGCAGTCTATTCTGCACTTTTGCTTGAAATGAACATTTTATACGAAATCAATTTTCAAGATTAATACGTGGCTGGGGGGAGAGGATCTACTTAACAATCTAATACCCCCCCCCCTCCATTGTATCTACTAAAGAATCTCTTGAAAGGGGGTGGGGAGAGATTGTTAAGTAGATCCGGGGGAGATTCTACGGTAGGACACTTAAGGGTGAGATTGTACGACCTACTTAACAATCTCATCCCCCTCCCCCCCCCCCCCCCCCTACGGTACCTACTTAAGAATCTCCACCCCTATAAATAAATACAGTTAATTAGCACTGAGCTTTCTATTATAAATTCTATTTTTGCTGCATTCTGATTGGTCGAAAAATCGCACACTTTCATCTACTGAACAATCTCCCCCCCTTTCTTGAAAGGGGTGGAGATTGTTAAGTAGATCCTAAAAAAATCCGTCAAAAACTGCTGTTAATAAATTGGAAACAAACTAACATCCTCCCCCATAAAGCGGTTTAAGGAGAGTATGTGTTAAGTTGGTCCAAAAGTAGAAAAATGCCAAAGAAAATTAACGAGCACAAACATAGCATCGTTTTTTCGTGAACCTAATCTTTTAACACCATTGAACCCAACCGACTTATGGCTTCTGCGGTTTTTATAGCATTCCACAGACATACTTACATGTACGCAAGCAGCTCTGAAAGTGGAATTTTCTTTTCGACCAAATTTATTCTCTTTTTATACAATCACACACTCGTGTTGGTTTAGGTTGAGTCGCATATTAAATTAGAACATGAACATAGAAAATAGTTGTTAGTTGCTATCTGATTACGTGAAATCCGCGCACGAGCGGCCGGCATTTCCGTTTTGCATTCTTCCCTACCACGTGACTTTTTGGTCCAGACATATCACGTGCGACTAGACAATATCCTTTTTCTTTACAATTAGTTGGTGATTTTGCGCAATTGTTACTCTTAACATACTTACCTTCAGCAATGGCGGCTCTTTGTGGAATATTCTGATTTGCGTCAATGAGATTCAGATTCCATAAAAGAACAGCATTTGTTTTTGTTCACATGCTTTCAATATTTTCATTCACTCCCTTTGTGAAATACGGTATTTTGTTTGAGCGCACAGCCGACTAATTAAAATAGCAGATCTAATACATTTATTTAAATTGCTCTATCATAGCAATAATTCTTAAGTTATACCTGGTTAAATTGGTTGATTTTCTCAAGAACGTTTTTCAAACGTTTTTTAAACGATAGATACAAAAGAAAATACAGCAAAACTATAGTACAAAACCAGTCTGCTATCAGATTGTTCTACTGATCATATACGACAATTGCTTTTGGCGAGACTTTAAGACGCTACACGCAAGTTCTGCAATTCTATTTCAGAGAAATATAATTGGCTTAAATTCGAACAATTTAATTTTCATGTTATTACTTTCATTGTCGTCTTAATGACATGTCTACTTAATGCTTTGTCGTCTTATTTACCTAGCATCATTTTTATATGTTATAATCTTCCCACGCACATTGAACTTCACTTTCATTCATACTTTTTAGTCGGCGCGCCGAGAAACTTCAGTTCGTTTCGTACCTTTTAAATATAGTAATAATATTGACCAAATAGTACCAACGTCAGCACAGCCAGTGTGAGTTCATAGTGCTCTTCATAATATTACAACTAGAAATGAGCTTGATTAGCCGGATGAGTTTTGTGCCGATATTAAAAGGAGGATATGGAAATTTATTATGATTCTTATCTTTAACAATTTCAAATGAGTTCTTGAAAAGCTTGGTGTATTATAACTTTCTGCTAATTGCACGGCAGAGAACGCTTGCATTGTTACTGTTACCTTGTTATATGCTCCCATATAAGGCATTTGCAAAGGAGAAAGAGCGCTAAAAAATACGTTAATACAAATATACTTTTACACGATACTTTATTTTATTTTTCAATCAATAAAAAAACTTGCTCGCTCGTAAAGCAACGGATTGTTCCAATTTTTTTACGCTGTATTACGTAACATACATACGTACGCGTTTTCATTTTAAATTGAGTCGTATTTTTATTATTGTAGTTTTTTCATTCCACGAGAAAACACCAGACTGATTGTTGATGATCAAATTGACCTGTAGTAACTCGTTCGATTCAGTGCTTCGGCGTTGTCTTGTGGTTTGTCTTGTATCTTTTAAAAACGCTTATTTCCATTCATATAGTCTTTCATCTTTTTTTAAATTCAAGCTTACACTTTACACTGTTTAAATATTCCGCTTTGTAACAGAATGAAAATCTATTTAGAGCGTGGGAAAAGAAAATTGAACATTTATTTTCTGTTACATTCGCTGTTCTCCCTGCTTTTCTTATCATCATCAGCTCATGGATAAAAAACTAAAACATGATTGGCGACTGCTTTATTAATTCGAAATTCTATACTTCTAGTTCGTGTTCGTAAACTTTCACTTTAGAACCTTTGTTTATTTTTAAATTACGGGCCGAAGTCAAGTATTTATGTACTTTTGCGTTTCCTTTGTGTACCCCAGTTTTAGTTCATTTTTGCTTTTATATTACGAGACCTTTGATCGTTCTGCTGATTTTAAGCATCATTTTTCTAAAGATGAAATCGATATAAAATGAAGCTGCTGAATTTGCACCAAATTATACAAAACGCGTTTGTTTGCAAATCTGTAAATTTGGGCGTTAGTTCTAGTACGTTTTTTCTCCGCAACTATATCCCTCGCGGGTAGCTAACCTAGTTACGAATAACCCCCCCCCCCCCCCCCCCCCCAATACAGACATAAGGAATAAGGCTCTTTTCCAGTTGCCCCCTTTCAAATTCAATTTTCAAAAACTTACTTAACGTTGTCGTAATGCAATGAAAGTTCGCGTGGTGAGCAAATCGACAACTGTGAACAGATTTGTTCTTCTTATTTTACAGCGTAACATCACTCGGTATTTTGAAAGAGGGGGGGGGGGGGAGCATATCAGAATTTTATACCTAGTTACGGATACAGTTAAAGAGATCCGTTTTTTCAACTCTCTTTAACTATCCCCCTCCCCTCCCCAATGCTACCTAGCATGCCCCAAAGATTTCTGCTGCTGTATAGAGCAAATTCTACTGCTTCATAGAAAAAAATCGCTTTTTTCTGATTTTTCTGATCTAAGGAAATTCTGATTATTCATGGGTTTATTACAAAAGAATTAGTGTTTTATCGCTTTTCGAAATAGTAGATTAGTAGAGTCGCGGAGAGATATTTTTTTGTGTTTCTGAGAAATAGAGCGCGCCAAAAAATGCGCGCGCCAAAAAAGTGCGCGCGCCAAAAAAATGCAATTTTTGGTCAAAATTTGCCACGAAGTGCACATAAACGGCATTTCTGACCTGTTTTTTTTTTCAAAAAAAGGGTCAGTTAACAAAATTTAGGAAGTTTTTTGAAAATACAAGCCCCCCCCCCCCCCCGCCTCGAGAAAATCCTAGATCCACCTCTGCCTTAAATTCCCTTCCCCACGAAAATCCTAGATCCGACCAATCTTTCATACTTGTTTTTAGGGACCCAACTATCATTCTTGTACCGACAATGCCCACTTATCAGTTGTGTTTCGGACCATGGAAACTTCGTGATTACAAATACTGGATTAAAAAATTTTGGAAAATGAGATTTTTTGCTGGAGTTGAATGTCCCCTGATTATTTAAGTCATTCTCCTCTTTTATTTGAGAGATCCATTTATGTATCCTTTACACTTTGCACTTTAACTCCCAGTTCATTGACTGTTACGTAGTCTCATTTTATATAGATATATAGACATTTATTTTAAAAATGCGCAACAGCTTTCGACCGTCCAATTTTAATTTCAGTCGCACAAATTGTGCCTTATTTGTCCAAAGGAGATGACGTGAAATTCCATCTTCTCTTTTTCTCAAATTAAATAGTGCCAATAGATAAAGCCTATGATTAAACGCTGTTCTTAAATTTTTATTTCAGAGACTGTCAAATTGTCAATCAAGATACATGTAAATGAAAATTCCTTTCAACACATGCATGAAAATTACAATCCATAGCCAGTCATCGTCCTTTTTCTTTTTAGAGAAAGAGAGGAAGCCAAATAAATACTTGAATTCAAAGAAAAGGCATGCTTAAAATAATTGCATTTTTGACCAAAATTTTTCAAATTACCCAAAAACAGCTGGTGAATTTTTGCGAGCTAATGGCCAAGTGTTATTGATGCGTTGATTATTCAATGACACTTGGCCAGTAGTTGTTCAATTACACTTGGACTAAGTTGAAGACTTGATCTTCGGAAATAGCGAAGGCAAAACTACAAGAGTGATGTTTTATGATTGTTGATCACTAGAGGTAGATTTAAGGGGGCTCCATTTGCGCAGACAGTTTAGTTGAAGTTGTCTCGTTTTCAGACCAATGACCTAAAAACGTAGACACCTATTACAACTTAAAAGGACGTTCTATTGCATCATCTTGTCTAGACTGGCGGAAGCGCGAATGCGTGAAAACAATGAAAAGTTACTTAAAAGGAAGCTTTCAACCGATTATACATGAAAAACATTTTTCACAGAATACATTTATGGTGTCGGCAAATAGGACGAAAGCTGTTAAGACGACAAAATTTCTTTCCGTACTAGGTAAATGAGACGACTGGTCACTAAGATGAAAAGACAACGTTTTCTTTTCGACTTCTCGCTGTTAATTTTTTTGGGACACCCTTAGCTGTCATTCTTGTTACTGCATGTTTGACGAAAGATAACTGAATTAGCTATGATAGTTATTTATCAATGATAACGATAACGATATAATTTGCCCTTTTCAGATAATATATAGCTCAGTAAGTGACTTCTGATCTATCTAATTGAAGAAGAAGCTGATATTCTATATTTAGTGGGATTATCCGATGCACCGCACCCGCGTCAATCTCAAACATCGTTACTTACTCGCTTCTTATTCTTCACCTTCACTTTTGACTTCACTTTTCAGTTCTCATGATTTTAGCAGAGGTCACGAATGAGCAGTTCGCGCAGATACAATAAAGAAGAAAATTTACAGACTGAGTTACTGATTTGCTGTGCGGTGAAGTAACTTAATTTAATAACAGCAAGTGCCGCACGAAGCAGTGTGTTTTGTTTAGTGGTCCTCCAACACATCAATTTCAATAACAAACAGGTAAGGTTTATACTTTTTATGGTGGCAGGTCAATTAGACAACAGGGCATGGAACTACTATGTCCTGTCGTCTAGGTACAAGTGTGACAGGGGTCCCGAGACTGGGTACCTAATGTAAATACAGTGCCTCAAAGATGTTCAATTTAGTGATTTGATGATGTCAATTAAAAATCGAATAAGTTTGCACGAATCAGACAGTTAATTACGTTCGAGAAAAAATTTGAAACGACCGACCGGTGCATATAGGTTTAGTTAATTGATATATTTGCTTTAAATTTGTGTGATTTTGGCACTCTGTATATTAACCGGGGGGCCCTCCATCACACTTGCAACCTATGATATATCTAATTTCTCTGTCTGACTTTTTCGAAGTTTTTTCAGCCTCAGTTTTTTCAAAAAGCAATTAATTTGTCGAGGAAATAATTTTTTGTTATTAGTTCTGTCTCGAAAAAGAATTCGTTTCTATTTTTTTATAGCTCACGTTTTAAAAATGAAATTGATAGATTTCTGTTTAAAATAACTTGACACAGTGAAGACCAGGGATGCGTAAAAATATATTGCGGTCACAATATATTGCAATATAATGTATTACAATAATTGATTGTCAGCTTTCACACAATACAATAATTGATTGTCCTGTCGACAATATAGTGTAACAATATGATCAAAGCGTGCAAACACCGCAACTGCCAGTGATTGGCCGGAAGTGTTGCTGACGCAAATTGGACTCATTTCAGCCATCACTTGGTTTCAGAGCACAGCCATGCCTAAAGCCTTTGACTGCACTTCTCATACGAGCAAACAAGTTCGCTTGTCTCCTGGGAGCCTCGAAGAAAATCTTTTTCTCTATGTTAACAAGCGTTTTTGGGACATTTCTGTTGTGGATAAAATAATTACGCGTGGATGATTGTTTTAATTCACAGTGTTACCCAAAAAAAATTTCTCAAAGCATCCGGCAATTAATTGCAATTATTGCAATAATTGATTGGCAAGGGTAGAACCAATACAATATATTGGGTAACGGGTACACAATAGTATTGCAATATATTATTACGCATCCCTGGTGAAGACTCTGGGGGTTAGGAAATAAGACGATAAGCAAATTAGACGGGACCAACAAAAACGAATTTAGACGCGTAATTGTTTTTGCAAAGCTAGCATTTAAGACGGAAAGCAAAGGGCTAACAAAACTTATTGCTTAAAACAAGTTTTCATAATTACAAAAATAGTATATGATCCCATTGCATATCAAAATATTTATCTCAATTGATTTATAAAATGTTAATTTCAAGATTATAAAACATTTTTGAAATGCATAAATTATACAATTGCGGCATGTGAAAAATGCGGAATGTGAAAATTGCGGCATGTGAAAAGTTGATTTGCATTTAAGAAAGCTGAACGAAAGTTAAATGTAGTCGGTAAACAAATTTCAGACACGAACAATACAATTACGTCTAATTTCCCATATTAGTAATTTTGCATCGACGTCTAAATTTGTTTTTGTTGGTCACGTCTAATTTGCTTTTCGTCTAATTTCCTAGGCCCCGAAGACTCTTATATACTGCAAAAAAAACGCAAAATTAAAAACAAAAATTAAAAGAAAAGCCTCAGTGAACAAGCAGTTAGTGGGTGAGTATTGTTTGTTTTGCGCGCAGATTGCTACGTGCTATTTTTTTTTCAAAAAAGTAGCTTGAAAACAAAAAAGAAGCTCATTTTTGTAACTTCATTGGAAATTTTGTTGCAATTTTTTGCAAAATTTTTTTGAACAGCTTAAAGTGGTTTTAAGGTGATACCTCTCGCAAATAGAAGAAAAAAATTAAGTAATAACTGGTACGTTTCACATCAAACATAAAAAAATTGGTTCCTGCAATGTAAAGGTCTCTATAGTGGCTAGGTCTTTTATCAGAGCGACCTTTTACCAGACCACAATGCAATAATTCAATTAAGATAAATTTAAATTAATGAACGATTCAAAAATGAAGCGGTTACAACAAACAAAACTTCGTTCAGAAACCGTGAAATCATACGGTGTCATTACATCTGTCAATCAAATTTGTTTATCGAGTCTGGTAAAAGGTCCGTTATAAATTTTCTGGTAAAAGGTCGGTCTGATAAAAGGTCGGTCCCCGTCTCTATAATAGTTTCAAATTTTTTGCTGTATTAATTGAGTCAGTAAAAAAATGCTCAAAACGTGTTGTTTTTACACGAAAAATTATGATCAAGGTCTTGTAGAGTTTTTGAAAATAATTTGGTTGCAGTACTTTTTCTCTAGTAAATATGTCGTGATGATTTTTCTGTTTTCTTAATAAAAAAGTCTTAAAGTCTGTACACAATCAAATTTGATTTTTCTCGGTTTGCATTTAGATTTATTTTTCATCAAACAGAAAAATTGTAACGATCACAAAAAACACGAGTGGCTTCTTTTTCGGAAGTGTTTTTCATTTTCAGATTTCCCAGTGGAACCAAAAGTTTGCTTCAGTTTTCTCAAATTGGGGTAAATTTATCAAAAAAAGTGTCACTCATTAAATCTTCTGGAAACTGTAAAAGCGCTAAGGCCATGTAAGTTATTTTAGAAATTCGAAAGTTTGTTTTTTTTTTCAAAAAAAACAAGTCAGTATTTTTTTGTTTCCCTGCGGTGCTAGGGATTTTAGCAGACCAATCTTTTAGCAGATTGGCGATTAGCTACCGCTTGCTCCGCTGCGCTTTAATTCAACACGAGTGTTATTGTGCGAGCAAATCTTTGTTTGGCCGCTAATTTAGACTGCGGTGTTTTCAAAGGAGTGCGGTCTGTATTTAGACAACCGCGTATTCATAATCGTCACTAAGCAGACAAATACCATATTAACCAATCAGATTTGAGATGAGAAAGCAAATTTTCGAAATAAATAATTATTAATCATTTATTTCTTCCTTGTCTCGATTCTGATTGGTTAATACAATTAGTTTTCAAAAATTGCAAGTTCGGCTCTGCGAAACATTCGAATGCAAGTAGACCCTGCCTATTGAATATTCATTTAACCGTTGGTTTCAGAAACCTATTTGCGTATTATGAAACAGAATTCGTTTCCGTTAAATGAAGTTCATGTTTGAAAAATTTAAGTGGATCCTTCTATTCATGAATTTTTCCTGAATTGCTATTCTGCCTTATTAAAACAAGCGATCAGCCTAGCTTAATGGAACAATTTTAAACTAAAGCTGGCTCTCACGTTTTTATCTCAAAGTGAAGATTTTCCGCAAATAACAAAATAGGCTGCAATAGTTGTTTAAGTGGCAATGAACGTAGTGGAGACTTATTTAGTCGTATTGATTTTCTGTCTTTTTTTCAGGAAAAATTTTTTAGTAACTATTTAAGCGCATTCATACATTTTAATGCACTTAAGAAATTGTTTATCTATACCAGTATACCCCTTTTTTAAGTTCATTCAAATTCATTTAGTTGAAAGAAGAAGGCAAATAGGAAACTACTTAAGTCTCCTTGAGTTCTTTTCTTTGCCACCTTCTCCACGGTCTGTTGCCTATGCTCTAAACGTGCTTAAATGAAACAATTAAAATGAACAGTAAAATATGCCTTAAGACTAGTGTAAGCTTCAGGTGTAGCAAACAGCTAACTAGTAGTCCAGTCCATTTTAGTTGTCACTGGAATCAACTATCCAGAAAAAAAATCTTAAAAAAGATTTCAGAGAAAAGTTAGTGCAGAAGGATGAAAAAATGCCCAACCTTTTGAAATGTTTTTTTTCTTCAAAAATGGTCTTTAACTTTGATCAGTCTCAAGTTTAAATTTAATCAAATCAACTTGTAGTTACCACTAGAGCTCAGATTGCGATCTATGACAAAACAAGTAGGACAAAAAATTAATCGGTAAATTGCTCAAAATGATTCAAGAACTGAATAGCGAGAGGTGAACTTAAATTTAGGCTCGGTTAAGTAATCTTGCCTCAAATTATGACCCTTCAAAAATATGTCTGTCGTTGGCCTTGTTTTTAATTATGTCTATTTTGGTAATGTAATGGGTGCCGAATTTTAAGCCAACGGGTGTTCAGGCCGAAAAGAAAAAAGATACTCAAAACTTGCCGAACAAGTGCAGAAGAGCGAAGTGATTTTCACGTATGTACACGGTTAACGCTGTGTTTAAACGCTGTATACTTTAGTGTTTAAATTAACTTTTCCTGTTCGGGTGATTTTCTTGTGTGCTTTGACTAACTGAGCAAGTCCTCCATTGGTTTCGTGAACGAGGTATCGAGCGACGCGAATGGCTCGAACGTGTCGAGAAGCAGTAAAATTCTTCTATTTCGGATTTTTGGTTTGCTGCGTTTTTTGTGTCCGGCTTTTTCGAAGTTGGCCTTAATAAAAATAAATGAAAAGAGCACTCAACAGGTAAATGTACTGCACACAGACTGCATATAATTTCGTCGTTTTTCTTGTAAAGCTACATTGCATCGAGAATACGAGTGATCATTTTGAGACACGGCGTGTAGAGATGTGAACAAAATTCGAGATCCAATATAGGCTGTTGCTTATCTGGTATGAAACATGCGAATAGTTAGTTTGAACAAAATACCCACATTTGAGAAAAGTTTCACGCTCACGTTATTTCTACCTTCAAATTTGTTTTAGTTAATTGTTCTACGGAAAACATAGCACTAATGTTTTACTTTCATATTTGAAAACTAGTGCTTTATTTGAAATACTAGTGCAATATTTCAATATTGCACAAGTATTTCAAAACTTGCAATAATTTTTCAGATATTGCACTAGTGGTTTAAATGTTGCACTAGTTCAAGTACGGCACGGACACATGCTGAACACGTGCGTGTTTTTTTTTTAAAAAAAAAAACATGTATTAAACGTTAAAATGTGCTTTTTTTAAACTCGAAACTTTTTTTTGCAACAATCATATTTTTTTTGAAATTCAAAAATTATAAAGGCATTTTTGAAATTCGAAAGTTAGAGTTTTTCAAAAAAACTAGTAGTTTTTTTTCAGTTTTTTTCCTTGTTTCCTTACATTCATTAGTTCTTCTTGGCAATGTTTTTTTAACATTTTTACAACCTTCTGTTTGTTTTTGAAACGTTTTTTTGGAATTGTCCTTACTCTGAAAATCTATCTTTATACACTTGTTTATATTTATCTAAGCCTAAGGTCAGTGCAAGATGGCGTGATTGTGATTGCCATGTGTTTCTTGATACTGTGCTGTACTGTATTTAAGATAAAACTTAGTGACGTGTAGATAAGTGTTGGTGGTTTTTTCCTGTGTCGTTCAACTTCAATGGCGGGTGCATTGATCTATCGGTTCCTTCTAATAATAAGTTGATTTTGTTAGTCAAAGTGTCACGTGATATGATAGCAGATTAATGTTTGTTCAAACCATTTGACCATTTTGCAAATAGCAGCATAATAATGATTTGATCTCAGACATGTGACTTGAAAAGTTTCATTATTTTGATAGTGAATTTAGAACGCTCGAAAATTGAATAATGCCATTTTATGTCAGACCATATATTTGATTTTGTATAGTAAAATTGTTAGTAGAAAGAGGCGAAGTTGTAATTGAGCTATTTAGTCAGTATTTTATTCAACTGAATTATTTTATTCAGAATCAAGAACCTGTGACTGATTATGTCTTTGTCGTACCACCTGAAGAAAGAGCGTATCTGAAGGGGATTGGTTAAAACAAGCAACTGATCGGGACTATCTCTGACGGTAGTCTTGTCTTGAGCTCGTGACGAGATACCAGCAGATTGATAATACGACCACTTTTATCGGAGTACTTTATATCTGATTCTGCTGAAAACCAACGCACACACACACGCGTGTGCTCAGTCAACATAAGCTCGAGTGTTCTATAGGTCACTACAAATTCTACCAACTGTACGATACTGAGAGTCTATTCAAAATACCATTTGAATCCCAGCAAATAGAATCTAGAAGCGCACAAGTGTTCTGACTTGTCTGTTCGCGGAAATCCAACTGTGAAAGTGTCGTGTTCTCGTCTGCGTGCACGCCTTGTGAAATTTTCTGTGCTGTTTTGTTATTCTTCTTTGAACAATTAACACTGTTATTTGTGGACCAGACTTATAGTGTGTTGTATTGAATATGAACGTATTCAAAGCTGTCCGCAAACGTCTCTCCCTTTCCATGTCAGGCGGCGCCGGTGCAACGTCTGGCAATGCCCAAGAGGCCCATTTGGTGTCTAAGTCAATGGAGGACTTGCGTCTGGCGCCATACGAGGAAAACGACGGTAACGACATGGTGTTCTACTGCAAACTCCTCGGATCCGAGTATGTCCAGGACAAAAACGGAAGTGAGTTGGCCCGGTTTGCAGAGCGTGTGATCCAGAGTTACACTGGCAAGGAGGGTGCGGGGTTGGGCACTGGGTCGGCGATAAATGACGAGTCTGGCGGAGCTGCGGCATCTGCGGCAAACTCGAAGAGGGTTCTTGGCAAGAACAAAACGATGATCAGAGTCAATTCAGATGGCCTGGAGTTGTCTACTGACGGATCAACAGAAAAGAATAGGCAAGTATTTTATTGTGATCGAATTGAAATTTGGAAATATTTAAATACCACGAGTATCCGATCGCTGTTCCAAGTAGACCATCTTTCGAGTTTTTTCGCTATTGGGAGATGATAGAAATGCAGATTTTAAACAGCTTCTAACTGTTGATTTAAGATGATGAATAGCTTTCGAAGCATTAAATTCAAATTCGTATGCTTAGGGTTTACACTATGTAACACTTCGCAGTTTAACGCAGCATTTTATATTCAATGTGCTGAGTTGAGTGAACTTTTTTTGCCAATCATTTCGACTTATTGATGATAGACAGTTCAACGCGCTTCAAAACAAACCGCTAAATCTTCAATACTTTTAAAGAGTAATGAACGTAGTGAGTACTCTTATATACGTCTTGCTGATTTTTTTGTGTTTTTTTCAGGCAAAAGTCAATAAATTTGTTCACGCTCGATTTTGATTTTTCGCGGTTTGAGTTGTGATTTCTTTTCAAGTTTGGTGCATTTCCATTATTAAAAGGAAGGCAAACTCCACTATCGAACAGCAGAAGTTAAAGGTCACGAAAAACGTGATCGACTTTGAAATTGGAAAATAATTATCAGATTTCCCAGCGAAATAACAATTTTGCCTCTTGATCCAGTTTACTCAAATTCAGTTAATTTTAACTAAAAAGTGTTCATCATAAATTATTCTACAAACTCAAAGAGCTTTGAGGCCATCTGTTTTTTTCTTCGAAATTCAAAAGTTGAAGGTTTTTGAAAAAATAAGTCGGAATTTTTTTCAGTTTTCTTGCATTCATTACTCTTTGCCAACTGTCAGTTGGCTATGTTTTATATTTCAATAAATCGGGAATATAAAAACCCTTGATAATCTGAAGCTCAAATATACGAAAGAGAAGTCATTAAAAACGGATAAAATTTTATGCAAAAATAATTCGCTGATCATTTGAGGTTTATTCATAAAAATCAGGAATCACTCGAACCAGCACGAGCTGTTCAGCTCTTCGCGGAGAATCGCTATTGTGCCCCTGCTTTAAAACTGCATGCATTCTGTTTGGTTATTTTTCTGGACTGGGTAATGTTGCCTCACCCTCAAGCAACGAGCTCGGATTATGGTGGGCCCCCACATTTTGGATTGAGAGGCGGAGACGTAACCAATTCACCACCGCTCACCGTTTTAGGAAAAATTTAAAGGTTGATTGGCAAAAAAAATGATAATTTAAAATAGCACTAATAAAATACGAGTAGCAACTGAAAGGTCTTCAATGCGATATCATATTCGATCCCATTGGCCCTTTCTTAGAATTGATTGAAATACTGTGATAAAATTCAAGCTTTGAACCGACTGATATTTAAAAATTGTTAAAGTTTTTTTTTCAAATGGCTTTCTGTTTTTTTTTTTCGAAATTTTTGGTGCGAAATTTTTCGGTACATTCTTGAACAATTTGCCTTCTCGTAGAATTATTTGGCAGAATTGGGTATTAGTTGTGTTTTATGATGGCTTGGAACATTACTTGCGTTGAGCTAAAAAAAAAGTAAAAATTTGGTTGTTTTTCATTGATTTTCCAGGTTATGAGCAAACATTAAAATTGTAATTAAACTGCCGGTTTTTTAAAGCTTGATATTGTTGTTGTGGCCTTGTCTTCAACATCAGAAAGCAGGTTTTTTTAAAAACTTGAACACTGCATTTATCGAGGCTTAATTTTTGTGTCTAAATAGCGGTAGTTTGTTCAGGTTTAAACTGTGCCACGTGAGTTTTGTGAGTGCAGCCTTCACCTACTCTCACTGTGCTGCCATCATCTGCCAAAGTGTCTCCTCCCCCACCAAGTGGAGAGCCTATCTGTTGCTCTTCTCCAAGCCCAAATACGCCAAACGATTCGCAGTCTTTATGGCCAGACAATTCGACGTCGGCTACGAGAAGTGGCAGAGCGAACAAGCAGTGGGAACCCTGGATTTGGCAGTGGAACAGGAAGCACTCAAGCTCAAATCACGTCTGAAGCAAGGGTTGACAAACAAGACGTTTGTTCTGGATGACGAGGACGATCTTGTCATTACGCCCAAGACCTCGACAACTACACCGGGTGTCCAACATGCAAAAACATCCTCGGATACAGGAAACGAGGCGGGAGACAAAACCGAACATTCATCGGAACACAACTGTCCCACGACGAACAACTCAGGTCAGATTTCGCACGTGACATCATCTTCATCCTCGGTCAACGAGGTTTTCGCTGAAGCTCATAATGAAGACCAAGCAATTGCAGATCAGCCTCGTGATCCTCGTGATCAGTCCCAAATGTCGCGGAGAATAGTAGGAACCCGTCCGCAATCTGTAACAACCCCGACTGGATTCCCATCTCAAAGCGTCCCTCAACATCTTCTAGATTCGCGAGAAGGTTACAATGAGTTTGCCAATGCCGAGCGAGAACTATGTTCCCTGATGAAGGGAAGTCACGTGCAGAAAGACCACTCCTCGTCTCCCATTTTGGACGACCCTTTTGCCTCGAGAACTGCAGCGTCATGGGCTCCTCATCAAGACCCGTTCATGTCCTTTTTCGAAATGCGTAATTCAAACATGGACCCATCCGATACCTCTTTCTCTTCGACTTCTTTGTTCTCAACTCAGATGTCAAATGGAGGCGTGTCAGGATTCACCCCTTTTGAAAACATTGAAGAACACAAAGTTGGCGAGCAAGAAGAAAATCAAAACCAAAACTTCTTACTCGAATTGTGATTTCAAGTCGAGTAATTCTTTTCGAATTGCAAACGAGCGAGTCGTAAAATGTCCTCGTCATCTAGTTGCTGACAAACCCGTCCACCTCTTATTTATTCCTCTGACTTAGGTGACATTATAACCAATTTGGCTTTCATTTTCCGTTTAATTTTCAAATGCCTATTTTTCTGATTCCTCATTGATGCAATTCTGAATAATTAATTCAAATTCGTTTTCGTACTTTCTCTTTGAACCTAAAGCTGAACTCGTCCTGTGTGGCTATAGTGTAGAATGCATCTTTTTGCATCTATATTAAAATCATTGTAGTTGTTTGCTCTGAAAATAGCACAAAAAGTTCCGACATCATTGATAAAAGCTATCTAAATAAAATTATTTTTCTCCAAATTTGCGTCGTTTTTTGGCGTAGTGTGACAAGACGAACGAAAAATTAGAAAAATATCAAATTTGGCATAATAGACCACAGTTGTTTTGAATAAATAAATGAATAACAAATCAATTAGCAGACTTTTATGATTTGTCAACCAAAAAAGCGCCCAAAATTGAAGCTTCAAAAACTAGCCTTTGCGGAAAAAAATTAAGTTTGGAGTAAAATGAGTAAAAATAAGATTAAAAGCAAATATTTCCAAATGGTTTTTGTCGACAATGAATTTTTGTCGTTCTAATTGCGACTGAAAGAGCTTTAATGTGATATACTACTCTACTTATTTTGATGATTGTTTTTGGTCCCTAATTTGAGTGAAAAAAACTTAAGAAAATTACAAAACACACCCCAAGACAAAACTCCTCACTTTCAGTAGTTGAAACAACAATACTGCTGGTATCACGGTCGCAAATTATTTGTAACGGCTTCTCTTCAATCTGTCTGAAAATTTTTTGTAGTATCAAATATCTCATTTTTTGAAAATGTGATCACGAGCAATGTCAAGTACGAAGTGACATAAATTGCGCCTTAATGATATACAATTGGGCAATAAATATCAGCGGAAAATAAGTGCTTATAAAGGTTTGCCATTTTTATGTGTTCGCCACTTGTATCACAGCGCTGCGGAAGTCAACAAAAACTAAACTAACTATGATTGTGTTCGATCAAACCCAAGAGTGTTCAGGTATGCCGTTGTTGGTTCATTCAAGATTTCAGAAAATCATTTTTTATCAAATTATTAAGAAAACAGATATAGCTGTTTGAGGTGCAAGTGGCTCAGAATTTTCAAATCACAATAGTTTAAAATGGTTGTCATCAAAATTGAGTACAGTTTCGTCAAAACGCAAAGAATGGAGCTGTAGCTGGAACAAAGCTGCAAAGAGAATTGTTGAGCCATGATTCTGTGTACACAAGCAAACGTGCTCAGATTTTAACAAATTTATCGGACTTTTTAGATCTTTGAAATCATTCCGACCTTCAAGTTTAAGCTCAAGTCAAATAGCTCTTTTAAGTTTTGCGTTTGCTTTTTTTTTCGGCGTGTTCTTTCTTCTCTGAAAAATTGCATGGCTTTTTTAAAAAGGTTTGCCATGAAATAAGGCAAAAAATTGACGTCTTCGAAAAAGTACAATCGTGTTGTATTGATCTTTTGACAGTTCAAGGCAGTTTTGACCATTCGATTGCTATTTCAACGCCCTTTCACTGTCTGAATATCAGAAATATTTCAGAAATTTATACTTCTGTAACTTTTCACGTTGAAGTCTACGGACCATATCAAGTGATGCTAAAAGTGGATCGAATTAGTATTTATACCATGACCTACGTCACGACAGACAATGACCAAAAAAGACAGATATATTTGGGCCAGGATGAGCTGAAAGTCCGTAGAATTGGTCTTGACGCCATGATGGAACAAGATGCAGTACACATTGGATACGAAGCAGATGTGACTGCACATCTCTTGGACCTCGATGGAAAGAAAATCGGAGTTACAGGACTCCTAGATATAGGAGCAGTAGTCAGTGTAATGCCGATAAAGACATGGGAAAGGATGGGTTTCACCAGGGAGGACCCGATACCGACGAACATAAGATTGGCAGCTGCCAACCGCGGAGCCATCTACGTGGTCGGGAGAAATCCGGTAACAGTCCTTCATATGGGAGGACGGAACCTCTGGATGAGTTTTCTCGTGGTGAAGAACCTGGTAGATTCGGATCAGTTCATCCTGGAGCGTGACTTCGTCAGAAATTTTGACGTGATGATCGACCCTAATAATGGACTGATAAGGATTAGGAACCCAGACAGGAAAAGTGTTAAGCGAACAGTAAATAGAATAAGAACTGATGAGAATAAGATACCAATTTTTTTATACAGAAAAGTAAAAGATTAGAGCACAGGCAGGCAGTTGTAGCAATTTTTAGGATGAGAATTTTAAACCCATTGTGTGATAGTAAACAGGTTTGCCTGGTACTGAACCCAAACAGTCAAAATTCAGTGGTTTTAGGCCGGAGTTTTTCCGTCACACGAAACGGGCTGTGTGTGAGTGTATTTATGAACGGTTTCAATCCAGCGTGGAAGGAAACTTGGATACGCTTTGCCAATGAGGACGCACTATGAAGAAACGCCGAACCTGAAAAAGCACCGAGTAAAAGACTTTCCAATTCATGCAAATAAGGTTTTGGTTCTAGAAAAGATTATTGATATGAAATTTTTAAATAAAGTGTTTTCAATGAGATCTGAAACAAATGACGGCTTATCGACCTACTCGAGTTTTCCGGAACGCCCCTCGTCATATGAACAAGAGCCGAAGAAACCGGTTTTGCGGAAAATAGTGCATCTAAGAGGTAAGATAGGGGAAGATCGGTAAGATCGGTTTAGAAAAAATCAGTCTTAAATCGGATTGCAGACGTTTTTTCTAAACATAAAGCCGATATTAGTTGTTGTAATTTCTCTATTGATATTGGAAGGCGCCGTTCTCAACACAGGGAGGGAGGGAGGCGTATGAAACCTCATAAATCGGAGGCGTGCAGAGCGCAAATAGAAATGCTGCTCGAATACGACATGATAGAATTCTCGAAGTCACCTTTGGCTTGTGGTGTTTTCATGGCCAAGAAGAAAAGAGGACAGCTAAGATTCTGCTGCGACTTTCGCTACCTGAACCCGGTTGACTACAAAGGACGCTTACCCAATAGCGCGCACAGACGAGAGCCTCTCGAAGCTTGGCGATGCCAAGTTTTTCACCACACTGGACGTGGGTTCTGCCTTCTAGCAGGTACCCCTGCGAAAAAAGGATAGAGAAAAACCGGATTTGCATGTACCAGTGGAAGAGGATGCCGTTTGGCTTATGCAATGCGACGGCGACCTTTCAAAGACTGATGGCTCAGGCTTTGACCAGCATAACAAAGAGGTATGATAATCTCGTGATGTGCTATGTGGATGTTGTAGTGATAGCTACACCCACCTTGGAGGACCACATTGACAGACTCGATGAGGTCTTTGACTGCACGAAGAGAGCTGACTTGAAATGCAAACCCTCGAAGTAAGAGATTCTTAAAGACTCATTTAAGTACCTGGGAAAAATGGTAGACAAGCATGACGTGAGGCCGGATCTGGATGCGTTAACATGGCTGTGTTAACATGGAAGGCCCCCAAAACGGACACGCAGTTGATGAGCTTCGTAGGAATTGCGAATTATCATCGAGATCATAAAAGGATACGCAGACAAAGTCTATCCGATGCAGCAGCTGATGCGCAACAAAAGAAAGAATTTCGAATGGAATGAAAGGGCACAGGATGCTTTCGAGAACATAAAGCGGGAGCTGTGCGAAGCGCTAGTGCTAGGCATGCCTACGGAGAAAGCCATGTTTGTTCTCGACACTGATGCTTCAGTGGTAGCTATCTCCGGAAAACTGCATCGAGAGCAGGACTGGAATGGGAGAACAGTTCTCCGTCCCATTGCATACGGCAGTAAGGTGTTGAGCGACACTGAGATGAGATACGGTGCGCCAAAAGCAGAAATGTTTGCGCTAGTCACGCTTATGGAGAAGTATCGCGCCTACTTGGGGAGTGCTCCCTTTAATTTGCGAGTGGACAACCGAGCCTTATCCTGCGTGAAAACTTACCCGATGGACCACAGCTACATTGGTCGATGGATAGTCAAGTTGAATGGCTACCACATGATAATCGAGCACAGGGTGTGTGACAAGCACCAGAATGCTGACTTCTTCCTTCTGCGGTAATAGGCTCAACGAACGTTTTGACACCGCTATCATCTTCAAGTCATCTGCCGCGTTATCAAAGACTCAGCATAAAAAATGAGTTTTTTGAAAGATTCATTCAGAAGCAGGCCAATCAGGCGGAAATCAAGGAAGGGTTCTCGTTTTTGGACAAGGAGACTTACGAAGCGCTTCCCTTGACGAGATGGCCAGACAAGTCAGGACATCCTATGCCAGGCGATCTCGAATTACCAGTGGAGAAAGCGGCAGTGATTAAGATCTTATCCAAAAAGGAGTCAGTGCTCTTGGATCTGTTTCTACGTTTAAAGCAGTTTCAACAGGAATTCTCTCGCTTGAACATTAACAGCCTCTCGTTGCTGGACAAAACGATGCAGGCCACACCAGAAGTGATGCGGATACTGGGTGGGTTGTCGGAGAGAGAAGTGACTAGAGATGACCCTGAATGGGCAGCAGCCATAGCTTCGCTGACAGTCAGTGAGAAAGTACTGATAAAACTATCAAGACGCCAGCACAAAGAAATTGATAGGGTTTGTAAGACAGTAGTTCAGCAACTAGTATCCTCAATTCTTCAAAGCGTACAAGAAAAAGGAATAGGAGGTCGGGACTCAGAAGAAGTCTTTTTCGGGGCGCCCGATCAAGGTCTGATAAAAGCCGAGTCGAAAAACTTGGAGCAAGAAAATTTGTCCGGGTAGTCGGAAACTGAATGAAGTGGATACGTAGATGGACAAGACCAGTTGGATAAAGTTTTGTCCGGGGAGTTTAGATGGACGAGTAGAACATGCACATCAGAATGTGCCGCGGAGACATGCTCTACGACAGACTCAATTGTCGAGGACACCTCGAATAAACCGGAGGTTGACACGTACTCGGACAGAAACTCGAGTACGGGATCAGAGTTTTCAGAGTTGGCGATCCGCACATTACTGATGGAGACTCGAGCAAGAGACTCGGACATGGAGGTGTATCAAGACCCTGATAATGATTGCTACCTGTTCTCGAGTGAGAAAGTCTTTGATAACGCGGCAGATGACCTGGAGATTAAAGCGGTGTCAAAACGTTCGATG